AGCCAAAGCCCTGGCCCTTTTGAATCACGAGCCCCGGGATAGTTGCCCCTTTTGCCCACACTGCCAGTGATCCTGCTCTCAATCTACCAGAGCATTCCTAAAACTGAAATACCCACCTGGAGAAGTAAAAAAACAGATTGACAGCCAAAAAAGTACCCAGCCATGAACTACTGCAAGACAGACATGAAAGGGAGAATAACAGAACTCCACTTGTTGTTACCTACAGTCCACAACTCAAACCCCTCCAATGCATTATACACAATCTGCAACCCATCTTGGAAAATGATCTCTCAGCCTCAGAGGCCTTTGGGGAAAGCCCGATCTCGCTTCCAGACAACCCCACAACCTGAAACAAATTCTTTCCGGTAACCATGCTACACAACCACATCATAAGCATCTAGGAACCCAGCCCTGCAATCAGCCGTGTTGCCAACTGTGCCCTCACATCTATACAAGCAAATTAATTACTGGAGCCAACAACATAAGCTACTAATTCAGGGGATCATTCCATTGCACATCCAGTAATTTGATATATGCCATCAAATGCCAGCAATGCCCCACTGCTATATATATTGGACAAACTGGACAGTCCCTACGGGAAAGAATCCATGGATACAAATCAGATATATGTAAAGGGAATATACAGAAACCTGTTGGAGAGAACTTCAATCTATCTAATCACTCTTTAAAAGATCTCCAGGTGGCGGTCTTATCACAAACCAATTCTACAAGTCAAAAACACAGAGAGGTATTGGAATTACAGTTCATCCACAAAGTTCAATTCTCATACTGATGGCCTCAATCCTGATGAGAGATGGTTGGGACACTATTAACCTAACATTCAATGAAGGTGCAAACAGCTCTTTGTCTGTGTAGATTCTAGCGTTAGCATCCTTCCTATCTATTACTATCCTTAGATCTGTTTCTTTTCAACTATCCAATCTTCAGGTGTTAATAGATTGTCAGCTCTGCCTACTTGTTTTACCCTTTGATATTTTCATACCCTCTGCTTCTTGTTTCCTGCCCCCCTCCTTTTTTTCCTTCCTCCCTCTCCCTTCCTCCTATTTATTTTGGGTCTGCACATCCTAAACTCAAAACTCCAGTCATCTGAAGAAGTGAGCTGTGCCCACAAAAGCTCATGATACCATCTACATGTTGGTCTATAATGTGCTACCAGACCATTTGTTGTATTTTTAAGTTTACTAATATAATGCAATTCAGCTGAACCACTTCAATATAGAAAATATTCTTAACTGTGCTGAATTAATATACATGTCTAAGGCTCTCAATTCAATACTGAGCTGTCTTTTCTTTTTTAGAACTACATCAAGGGTCTCAAGGAAAAGAAACAAAGTTCCTCTTGCCTGCCTAGTGGAGTGAAACTGCTTGTTTATGGGGAATAAAATTAATTGTGTGATATATATCTGTAGAGCACCCAGTGAGCATGCAGTACCATTATGTAATACTAAAATAAGTCCCAGTTTTGTACTGGGACAGATCAACTCATTCCTCAAAAAGCTACTGTTACCTCACAAGTTTCAATGATATTTTCCTGACAATGTATGCTTTTACCTCTGTGAGGTAGGGAAATGCTATTACCCTCTTACAAGTATACAATGGAGTCATGGAAAGGCTTATGGACCAGATTTTTAATGTTATTTAGGCACCTCATAGAATTTTTGAAGGTCTGTAGATTTCAATGAGCATTAGGTGTCCAGATGCTTTTGAAAATGCCACTAGGAGCCTCCTTATCTCTTAGGCATGTCTGGCGTAGCAGGAAATGGATGGGACTGGAACCCATCACCCTGAGATCTCCAGGTGAATGCCCTGGCCTCTAGGCCACTCCACAACCCACTCCACCTACCTACCTTCCAGGCATCTCTTATCCTGCCTTCCTAATGTGGGAAGCCCGTGTTGGCTCCTGCCTTCCTAATGCGGTTGCCAGCTCCAGCCCTGTGCCACCCTAATTAGACTAATTCCCTAACCACTGGATTATCCTTCCCACTCTCCTCCTTTTTTCACTTGTGACCTTGTTTACATTTGAACCTAGGACCCAAAGTGAAAGGAATAATGCTGCAAATCACAGAAAGATCAGCATTTTGTTCTGCAAACACTGTAAAAGGGGAGGAGAGGGAAGGAGAAGGATTAACAGAACTGAAATGTCATTCACTGCCACATTCCTGAGATCATCTACTAACAAATTATTCAGTTAATTTCCTTGTGAAATACTGGGTGGAAGGAAGTGTTTAATGTATTATTAAGTTCTAGTCATATCAGTCTGCTTCTATTTAAATTACGCTGTTTAAAATGTTGGTTCATATAAATTGGTATTTTTAATGACAATAAAATTCCCTTGTTTCCTTTTGCACAATTTCATTACATAATTTCCAATTCACTGACCAGAGATATTCACTGGTGGTGTCTCCATATAACATTAGCCCCTCCCATGGCTCTGTCACTCCATGCCCATGGAGACAGTTCCCTGTATATGCAACACTACAGCATTCAGGTGCTTCAGTACAAACCCTCAACAGTGAAATACTAGTATATTTTATACAATGCTCCCTTCAACATTTAGTACTGCTGCAGTTATAAGAATTCCAGTTTCTTCCCAGTGAATGTGTAGAGGCACACTACTGAGCTAGACTTGGAAATACAATACTGTTTTTCTCCAAAGAGGGTGCTGTTCACCGTACATGCTCAAAGGAGGAGATGGGAGGGGGAGAGAAACAAGAAAATCCACCAATTAGAAACTCTCAATGTTTCTAAAACCTTAATCTCAACTCAAATATTCACCAAAATATGTAATAAAATTAAATCTCAGAAGTTTATTGCTAAAGGTCTCACCCACTCAGGCGAGGTCTACACTGCAGAGTTTTTGCACAAAAATTGTAGAGTCCACACCTCAAGCGCATTTTTGTGCAAGTAAAACAAAAGAACAGAGGGGTTTTTCTATGGTAGGTATTTCTTCTATGAGGAATAACTCCTTTTTGCACAAGAGTTCTTGTGCAAAAAGGTGTGTGTGGACGGGGAAGAGGGTTTTTTGGTGCAAAAAGAGGCAATCAAAAAAAGCACAGGTGCTCTGATGGCCATTCTGTAAATAGTAATCCTTTCCTTTCGAGAGAGCATCCATACAGTCTGGATGCTCTCTTTCACAAAAGTGCATTGCTTTTTCAATGCACTTTTCAGTGTGGATGTGCTCTTGTGCAAGAAGTTTTTGCAGAAGATCTCTTCTGCAAAAAGCTTCATGCGCAAAAGCCTGCAGTATAGACATAATCACAGTTACTGAAGAGAACTCAGTCTTTGGAGCCCTGCAAATCCATGGATAACCATTATATATCCATTGGTATGCACAGTTCATTTTTGTGGATGCAGAGGTGGATGAAAATACAATTTTATATCTAGAACCCTAGAAATGTACATTTATCAGCTTTATATCTGCTGGTATCCACAGATGCAGATATCCACAGCTCATTTTTGCGGAGACAGATACTATACAAATTTTGTATCTGCACAGACCTCTACAAATCTTTTTTGAGCAGTAGTATGTCTTACATTCCCTCTCCATGTTTCCCTTTCATAAACTTTGGAAGAAAGAAACTACATCTATACACAGGAACAAATTGAGACAATTTGATCGGAGAAGGTCTTGCACGGGCAAACAAAATTAGAAGTGTCACTGCTGCCATTAACCTTTCCAAGTAAATATCAATTATTACACTTGCAGTACTATCTCTGTCCCCCTTTTGCTGCTGTGAATTAAGAGGGTCATCAGCCTTTATGACAGATCTTGTTCATTTACACCTGCTGCCTGCCAGCAGGGGAGCCCACGCACATGCAGCCTGAGTGCTGAGCCAAGCTGCTTTAATTCATCGGTAATTACCCTAATGAGCCACATGCAGGATTGAACTAGGAGGACAAGTTGTTCTGCTAAATGGATGCATTGGTTTCATGGGCACTTTCTGCAGATCTAGAAATTAATGAATTAGTCAAAAGCTTGTTTCTTGAAGTTGCTCCTGGCTTGACTACTTGATTTTTAATCCATTTCTCTGGATGTTGCTATTTCAACTATAAAAATTCCCTCTGGCTGTATCCTTGAGTTGAATCTTTCTTTGAGAACTAACATCCCTTTGAATTGTCTTAGCCTTAGATATCCATTAAATCTTGTCATGTGACAAAGCCAGTGAATGCACATTTTCACCCTGTTCTGTTGCCTCACTTGCGTCTTCAGTAAGATTTGAACGCGGACTTTCAACACTGTAAAACAGACTTGCACCACTTGGCCACAGGAAGTCATTTAATCAACTAGCAGCACTCATAAGCTCCTATGTCCTAGTGAAGCATCCAATAGTGCCCATATTTTACATAAACACTATTGTAATATCAACCACTTTGTTTATTTTTAAAATGTGAACAAAACCAAAGAGTCTAAAAGTTGAAGATAACTGATGCATGGAAAACTTGAAAATTTCATTTTCTCCTGA